GCGCCCCCGGCGTCGCGGCGATCCAGCAGCCGCCCGCCCCGGGCACAGCGCCGCGCCCGCCTCCGGCCCGGCCGCGCGCGAGCCCGCGCCCGACGCCCGAGCCTTCGACCAGCCCTGGCGCCCTGAGAATCCCGATCGATGGAGCGGGGGCGCATCTTTCGTCAACTCCCAGGGTTCGGCCCCCCTTCGGCCGGGCGCCGCGCGCCGCCGCGCATCGCCATGCGCCGCCGCCGCGGCGCGAGCGCGGCGCGCCGCTCGAGCGCGGCGCGGGTCTCTTGCGACATACTGTCGGGCTTCCCCGCGCGGGCGGTGATCTTTGCCTTCGCGGCGCCGGCGCTGGTCGGCGTATTCTTCACAATTACACGATGTGAACGCTACTCCCCCCTCCCGGTCCCCTCGCGACGCCCGGGGAATATTCGGCCCCCCTCCGCGCGCTGGCTCTCTGCGCGCAAGATTCCCGAGAAACTGGTTGCCGCTTTGGTTGTTGTTTTAAAATGCTGCTCTCGCTGATGCGCTGGCTTTATTTTCGGGGCGCCGCTTGTTCCGAATCGCGCCCCCGCTGCAGCGCTGGCCTCGCATCCGCGCTTCTGCTCGCGCCGAATCGCGCCCCTGATGCAGCGCTGCCGATATGTTTTCCAAAGCCATGCCGCGGCGCGGATTTCGGCCCTTCCAACGAGGCCCCGAAGTTTAGAAAATGGCCATCCGAAACAACCGTCGGGAGTGATTACACATTCGGTGACGATTCGTTGATTTCCTGGGTCGCAGATGCCCCCCCCCCCCGCCCCAATTTGAGGCGTCGCCGCGCCATGCTATGTCAGGCTACGCGTCTTCCGAATCGCGCCCGCTCTGCAGCGCTGGCCACGTTTCCGCGCTTCCGCTCGTTCCAAATCGTGCCCCCGATGCGGCGCTGGCGTTATTTTTTCCAACGCCATGCCGCGACGCGGGCGTCGGCCCTTCCAGCTCGGCCCAACAGTTGCATTTTTCTTGCGCGAAAAATTCCCCCCGAAACAACCATCGGCAGTGAGTGCGCGCACATTCGGTGTCTATTCGTTGATTTTTCGGCCGCGGAAGCCGCCCCCGCATTGGGGCGTCGCCGCGCCGCGCTGTCAGGCCGCGCGTTGATCTTCAACGCCGTGCCACGCCCAGCAATGCTACGCCCTGCCGCGACATCCGACCGTGCGAGTAGGGAGGAGATCCACGCCATGGTAAGGGATGGGATGGAGGGGTAGGACGTCAGATGTGACGGGGGCGCACTACGCGCGCCCCAACCATTCGCTCCGCGTCGCCGAGCCCGCGCTGGACCGCGCACTCGCCGCAGCATTTCCTGGCGCCGGGCATTCGTCTCGGGATCCGATTCGGAGCGCGCGGCCTCCTTGGGCTCGTTGTTCTTCTGGCGCGAGGGATCCACCTCCTTCTGGAGCGCCTGCGCGAGCTCCGAGGGCGGGCCCCCGCTGGCCTCGGGGGCGCCGCCTTGGCAGAACTGCGCTCGGCGCGGCCGCTCGGGACAGAGCCGCCGCGAGACCCCTCGCGCCATCTCGCGCGGCGGCAGGCGCGGATCCCGCGCGCGCTTGGCCGGCCGCTCAGTCGGGGCTCGGTTGACCGGGGGTGGGCAGACCGGGGGCTGGGGCCTTAAGTTTTCAAGCTGTTTCCAATGCGCAAGCTGCGGTATCCAAAGCGCTTTCCCCCCCCAGCTCCGGCTCGGAACGCGAATCTCGCAGCATTTGCGACATCGCCGTTGCGAAGCCCAAGCGACGCATGGTTCAACGACTCGGAGGCGCGAGCCTGCGCGAAACCGCCTGGAGAATGCAAGTCTCGGCGCGTGGCTCGCGACAATGTCTCTTACGAAGGTGGATATCGCGATGGAGTTGAAGTCGCTGTTTGCATGGTGGGTGCCTTGGGATCTTGCTTGTGGCGGTGCGTGCCAATGCCTCTTAAGACGGCTCTGGTTGCAGGATTGTGGGAACTATCCGGTATTGCCTTGCGTGGCCGAGGCCTTCGCACGACGATAGTGAGGCGTTATACTACTGACCAATACTTGGTGGCGGTGCGCATTTCTTCGCGCTGTCTGCGGGTTGGCCTGCGCGTTGCGCCGCATAGGCGGCGAATGCAGGTTAGACGTGGAATTGCACGCAAAGGGTGGCCTGGGCTCGGAGCCCGGCGTTGGGTTTGCAACAGGGTGTCTTCTCAAACTGTCCCATCCCCTTTCCCATCCCTACCTGCTTTGAACGATATCTGTTTCCATGCCCGCCTCAGCCAGCAAAGCGGACAGTGCCCCCAATGGGCCAATGTTGCAATTGGGAGCGTATGCTGGGTCATGTCTGCGATCGTCGCGTCAGCGCGCGCTGCGCCGAAAATGGTCGGAGCATCTCTGATGCCCTAGCGTTGTGCCGCGTGTTTTCGATCCCTGTCGAGGCGCGACGGCGTCGCTTTCGTGGCGTGGGAAACAGGAAGCTTCGTAGACGGACGAATCTGGGCAAACCAGCGTGCGTGCCAAGATGGCAACATTAATGGCCCGCTTTCCTCGGGGCATCGCGACGCAACCGCGCCGCTACAGCAGGTAGGACGCACTTGCAACAAAAATGAGCAGACAAGGACGAGCAAGGACGACGGGACCAGAGGGGCGAAGAAGACGAGGAGGACGAGGAGGGATAGAAACGCGAGAATGAAGGTGGCGCGAAGGACGGGCGGGAGGGGGAGGGGGAGGAGGCTCAGCCTGTCCCTGCAACATTTTCCTTTCTACTTGATCTCGTAATCCCTCGCATCCCCCTGCCGAGGATCCTCCGCTGAAGGTCGACAATGGCTTTGCCGTCGCCCGGCAATTTTGCACTGACGCCGCGACGCAGACATTGGCATCGCGCACCCCGCACACACGTTTTAAACTATGACCTATTTGTGGAAAGCTTAACACCGCCACGATCGAGCCTACCCTGATCGAGATTACAGGCCAGATCGTTCGAACCGAAAACGCACGCCGTATCGAATCTGCTATGCGGTCCACGGCGCCTGGCGCCGCCGCTGCTTAAGAACGGTGCCCCACTTCAGAAAGGCCTGCGCGTTTGAGCAGCGCGGGCAATAGTAGGCGCTGCGTGAGCCTATGTGTGCGCGCGTACAGACGTGGAATCTCATCCGCCACCGTGCCACCGGCACGCACGAGCATGTCAGGAGGCAAGTGCGTTGCCTGGCTGGGGTGCTATACATGCTGCCAGGCGGTCCGACGCCACTTCACAGCACGACAACCAGAAAAGCCCCGTCCGTTTGCGTCCAAGCACCCCTCTTGACCTCAAGACGGCACCAAGACGGCCCAATAACAGCCCAAGACGACGGCAATGCTCCCCCAGGCATCCGAGGAAGGCCAGACGACACCCCAGGGACCCCAAAATGTTTCCTAGACGCCAACAGGGGTCCAAGAAGCCTCGGGGAAGCCTCAAGGATAGCTTGAGGATAGGCCTGCAACGGGACTCACAACTTAAACAACACTGAATGCCCATGAACTTGGTTTCTGAAGCTTTTCCATTTCAGACTCCGCCAGGGGCCCTTCAGAGGAGACCCAGGAAGCCGCGCAACGGAAGCAAGACTGCCCCGGTGGACCCCGCTGGTAGCCCCGCGGCTGGCCGAGGGCCCTCCCAGACATACCAATCCGCGCGTGCTCCGGGACGGCCCCGAAACTCGCCCAGACGCCCCCAACACGTTTCGACCGAACTTTTTTCGGGAGAGCTCGGTGGAGCCATCGCGCCGAGGACGGCCACGAAACGCCGCCGCGCCCCTGGCGGGCCTTTGCCAGCCCCCGACGAGCTCCCAAGAGGGCCCCAAGAGACGCTCAAGACATCTCAGAGAAGCCCCCGAGGAGACACCGAAAAATGCTCTCAGGAAGGAGGAGGGGCGAGGGAGGGATCAGAAAAGAAAATAGGATGGCTGAGGAGAAAGAGGGCGCAGACAAGTCTGGGCGCCCATGACCCATGCCACTTCAGAAATAACATTGATATGGAACGGATCTGAATGCCGGCGTTATGCCCGCTGCGTTGCTGCGCTGGCGCGGCGGAAGGAGTTGCCGCAGGCAGCTGAATACCAACCGAACCTACTACCTACTACCTCAGCTTCGACATACTATGCTTTACACGCACACGTGCAAACGTACATAATGCACTCCTAGCAGTTCTAACGGCCCTCGGGAACTGCGCGATCTATGAGAGATCGTGCGGGCAACGCTCGTCAGGGTTCCTCAGAGTGTGCTGGTTCCAACACCAGCGCAACGCTGCTTTCATGCACTGCAGATCTGTGAAAATACCGCCGTAAGTTTTGGTCTTGCTGGCCGGCTTCGCCCCGGGGTAGAAAGCGATCCAGCATTTCCGAAAAGGAATCTTGTACGCTTGGCACCCCCTCACCTTCGGGCACAATGCAGCAGCGTCGCCCTTGCTCGACTTGCACAGGGCATGGGCCCCAGACTTGCTGACGGGAGTTGCGCCTGCCCCCGGCTTTTGAGCTGCGGGCCCCCGCGAGGGGGAAGGCGGCGCGAAGCATCCCAGGGTTGGGCCCCCCCTCGCATAATCTCGCATCCGATTGACTTTCGCCGCAGAAGTCTTCGCAGTCTGCTGGGATGTCTTGAAATGCTTCATGTCGAAAGTGTCAAAGATGCCCTCCATGATGGATGGCATCGGGGCAGCGGTCGAACTCCGCGGTTGCGCAGTAGGGGCTGATGTCACGGCTCAGCAAGGCACGTGCAATCACATCGTCCGGCTCTCCCTTCAGCAGGTGCCGGACCAACGCTTCCACCCTCTGTTCGATAGTCCTCGGCCTCGTCGCCTCGGGCATATCATCGAAGCTCATGCCCAAGGTTGCCGCCAACTTTCGCAGGTAGAAATTTGCGATGCCTGGGAAGCCCTGCCTCGCGACGGCCTCCAAGAGCTGCTGGGTGCGGCCAGTGGTGACCACGTATGCGCCCACCTGGGCGGGCTGCTTCTTCTTCGCCTTCAGGCGATCGAAATGCATGGTCAGAGGGGACTTTACAGCGACGTCGTGCACGGCCCAGTCCGTGAACTTCACGACGAAGTGCCACTCGCACCTGGCAGCTGCTGCACCATCCACCGAATAGGCCCCGTGGCCCCGCTCCGCGAGCGGCCAACCCAGGAAGCCGAACGCAGTCGTGGCCAGAACGAGCACAAGCTGGCTAGGCGCCTCTACGTGTGAAACGACAAGGCGAGGAACGAAGAACAATGCCTTCCAAGCAGTCCTCGCCATCACCCACTGCCCCTTTGCGTGCATGTGCAACAGGAGAGCGGTCCCAGCCAGAGTCCGCACCTTGCTCTCCCGCGTGAACGTGGGCCACGAGACGGGCCCGAGAATCTTCTTAAACTTCGTCCTGTCTACTGTTGGGCGAGCGCAAATCGCCTTGAACAAACTCTCTGGCAGCTTTTTGCCTACGATGGGGTCGCTTGGTTCCACGGCGATCTCGCTTCTCTCGAAGCGCGACATCTCTTCCTGCCTGTGCAGCTCGAACCACTGACGAACGATAGCCATTCTCTTGACCTTCTCACCTCGCTTCTTGACCACCCGGAAACCATTGTCGCATAGTGCGGAATGGCCGAAACCCTTGAAGGCGGAGAGCAGCGGCCCCGAGACCTTCGGAGGCACGACCTTGAAGTCGACCTCGGCAAGGAGGCCCAGGGTCTCGCGTGCAGGCACTGCGAACGGCCAACACAAGGCCGAAAGCAGCTCGGCAATCGATCGATCGCTGTGCATGCGATCCTCCGCCGCATACAAAGCCTCGCAAAGCTTTTTGGCATGGGCCAGGCCCTGCTTTTGTTGCGGTAGCGAGCCCACGAGCAAAGAGAAACAACCAGGAGGGGTGATCTTGGCATAGCCGGTCGTGGTCGATCGGGCGGCCACCATGGAAACCACCAGCTCGAACAAAGCCTTGCATGCCTCGTCATCGTGGGCTCGAACAGGGTTGTCCACCTTGCCCCACTCAGGGTTGTCGAAGACGATTTGCACGCCAATGTATTTCAAGACAGTGGTGTCGCACAGCTTTCCAAGGGCGTTCTTGCACGCGGCGTCGTAGGAGCCCGTGGACATGCGAATGGCATGAGATAGGATTGAATCCTCGCCCTTCAAAGTGAACATGGCCTCGCGGTGTGCATCGCAAAACGCCGAGCCAGCCGAATGCAGAATCCGACAGCGGAGCTGTTTTTCGTCGACGTCTAACAACCTGGCCGCCTTTTCCAACGTTGTCTCCTCCAAGCTGGCTGGTTCGGAAGGTCCCGCTGCGGGTGCCGGGGCTGCCTTCGCTTTCCCTTTTCCCTTGGCTTTCCCTTTGGCTTTCGCTGCGGGGACCGACCCAGCCGCGGATGAAGAAGCCGATGACGCCGAGGACGATGAGCTCGCAACTGCTGGCGTCGAAGCGCTCATCATGAAGCCAGGAATGGAAGCCATATCATGTTTGGCCGAAATCAAAGCGTAGCCATACACAACTAAACGACGATGCCACGAATGGTCCAACCCAGGCCACCTCCGGAACGACGAAAGCCGTCTTGAGCTTTT